AGTAGTCTTTGGGAATACGTCCTGGCTTCCTGAAGGATTGTTTGGATGTTTCTGCCTTTTTCTCCATTGTCTGTCAACATGATCCCACACTGCTGCAGTAATTTTGAGGTCTGGGCTCTGGGGGAACCAATCCATGACGGGTAGTGTTCCACTGCGTGTTTGTCTATTTACTTTTACTCCATTTGCAGTGTGTTGTCAGACTGAGAAATGAAGCAGCTGCCACTGTTTTGTAATTTCCAGGTAGTGCTGCATGGTGGATCAGATTTTGCCAGTACTTTTCCTTTTTCATAAATCCGTCCGTTTTGAGAAAATCCCCAACACCACCGGCTCAAATGCAACCACAAACCATGATAGAACCTCCTGTTTTACAGATGGCTGTAGACACTAACGTCTCTCCTGACGTCCTCCAACAAATTGAACCAAAAATTTCACATTTAGATCCATCACTCCACAAGACCTGTTGTCATGGCTGCAGTTTTTTCCACCTTACACTTCTTCTTTTTAGCTCTTTGGGAATCACCTTGATGCTTTAAAAATGCTTTTTATATCTGTGAAACTGTTTATCGCATTTTTTCAAACTATAAAACTAATTAGTTCTTTTCTTAGTTGACTGCTATGTGTGGACATATCACTGATTCAGTCCTTGAATTAGGTGCCTTTTTTGTGATCAAATGATTTGGATGTCAGTGTTCAATGGCGTGATAAACAAAATAAAAAATAAACGCATTGCTCTGTTACTCGGTCTTTTATAAGGACTGAGTGGAAAAAAAGCAGCCAATGTCCAAAGAAAAGAGCTATTCTTCAAGACCACTTTAAAAATGACAAGATAGCCTGACTACTACAAAATATAATGAAATGATGAATGAGATTCGACCCCACTCTGTCACTGGAAGTTTAAAGATTATTTGCAAAGTATAAGGAAACATTCCTGTTTTTTCTGACCATTTAATAAACAAAAATATGAATTTTGCTGGAGTAAATGTCAAGGGCTGTTTTTTTGTTTTTCTTTTTCTGTATAAACATTTGAATTATGTTGCGCAGGCTCTTTCTCCAGACTCCAGAGCTTACACAACATGTAACATAGCCACTCTCTTTTCCAAGTAGTATCCCAGGTTAGCAGGCCAGGTGCAGTGGAAACCCAAGCCTTTGTTTACAGTGGTTACATGAGATCACATTACCTTACATTATTCAGCTCCAGCTGCAGTCATCATCCCGCTTCTCTAAACTCTCCTCACCTCCCTTTTTGTTTCTCCGGTTCTCTCACTCATTAGCACCACGCTAGTTGGACCTGCACATGTAATACGTGAGCTGGTAGAGTTTTCTCAGCAGGCTGTTGAGTGCAGGAGGAAGAACAGCATTTCATTTAGGTGTACCAGTTTAAGCGTCTAGTTTTTGTGCGTTAGGGCTACTGGCCTGGCATTGTTAGCCTGTGCTGTTCTTGTTTTGACAGGTTATGACATGTCATGCATGAAAGCTATTGCATCAGCAAAAATGGCAGTGTGATAATATCGGTGTGTAAAGACTTTACTAGGGTGGCCATGGAGGTATATTAAGGTTTTCCTGAGTGTATTTCACAATTAGTAGTTTTTTCATCTGTTTAACATAATAATGCCATCTGCATTTTATTTACTAATGAGCAGTTTCCTTGCTTCTGTTCCGAAGGGACAACCACCTCTAACCAGCTAGCCCTGGCCCTTCCTGTCTAGTTTCTTTATCAACAGGCAGACAGATGGTGGTGGTAGTTCCTCTTCTTCTCTGGAGTAGTGTAAAGTGTTTCAAATTTATTATGGAAAGCCTGTTGTGAACCTTAGTGCTTGGTACATGTTTGGTTGTTACAGAGCTCTCCCATAAGGTTCTGCCCAGAATCTAGTGAGTGATAAGGTCTCAGGTACCACTTCTACAAGCAGCCTGCTTTGTGCTGTCCTCCAGATAAGAACACTATTGTCAAGCAGCCCGATGGTACTCGGGAGTCATGCAGACAAAGAAATTTGTGTTAAACTTTTTGAACTCTAAAATAGTGGAGATGAAAATGGATAGACTAAAAAAAAATCTTCAATGCTTTGCAGCTACATGCTAGTCATTGTTAACCAAAAAATTCTGTTTGTTGTTACTGGAAACTAAACTCTTTCTCTTCTTATTCACACTATAACCAGAGTTTGCCTCTTATTTGTATTTAATTTTATTTAATTTAATAACGGTACAGTACTCTGTTTTTGGTAACCATTGTCCTTGATGTAAATATGTAAAAATTGTGTACGTTTCTGTTCTGTGTCTTGTGTACTGTTTGTTTGTATTTGTGTCTTTCTTGCTGCTGTTACACCCAAATTTCCCCTTGTGGGACAATGAAAGGATTATTCTATTCTATTCTATTCTATTCTATTCTATTGTACTGCACTTCCTGTAAACATTTGTAGAACCAGGAAACTTATCAGGTTACAGACAAGCTAACTCGCTAACTCCTACTTCTGAAACAGCTGGACTCAGTTTCTTAGACGTTCTCATCAAAATTAACAGTATAGGAAGCCTACGTTCAGATGCAATTTTGGTTTGAATCCAGTCCATCCCTGATTTATGTACTGAGATCAGGACAACTGTTTTGCAGTTATTAAATGTCTCTATTACATTTCGGAATAAGGATGTGAGTACCAAGAAGCACTTCTAGACTGTCGTAGTTTGCCCTTCATTATACTGTAGCCCTACATTTAAGCACGTAGGTTGATGTTGATGATGGTGCATTGTGTTGCAGGTGTGGTCATACAGCTTCTCTTGTTTCAAGTGCATTCACACACTCAGGCGCTTGTATGTTGTATGAAATTGTAGCAAGCACAATTATATCCTTTATAGTCAGTAGCTGTGTGAAAACTAGAGGTGGTGGATTTAGCAAGATTACGTTTTCAAAATGTTATCTTCCAGTTAACTCCATACAAAGTGCAGTAAATATGAGTTTTGTCATCCTTGGCAGGAAGATTGTTCCAGGCATGTCTGAGAACTTTCACAAAGAAAGTCTCACTATCTCACTGTCTTTGTAACGCTAGAATCGAAGTCAATGGATCAGATTTGACTAGTGATTCTATACATGCAAATTTTGTCTCTCTTGGCATTAATAATAAAGTTATTTTAAATAATGCTGCCCGGATGAGGGCCTGGAGGTTTTACTGAGATGGTTGACACATGGAAAGATTTTGTTCTAGAAGGACTTTGCCCCGAACTGATGGTGTAATTTTGAAATCAGCACTATGGGAACCAGACCACCTGTTGGAGGGCTTTTTGTCTTATTTCTGGTTGAATACAGTTCCTCATTTGTGACTAGTTGGAGTAATACTGTCTAACCTATAAGAATCTACACATCAAAAGGATATAGCACTTGATGCAAAAAAGGTGTTTTTTAGCATTACAGGCCTGGTGTTTGAGGGGGAAATACAGGCACAGTAATGTTGAAAGTGACGTGTTGCATAAAGTTAACACACTTCTGTCCACAGAATCTGGGGTGGGATGAGGTAGCCAGGTAGTTTGGTAGGTGTGGTGTAAGGTTCCCCTCTGTGGTCTCTGTCATTGTTTTGTGGCCAGATGGCAAAGCCACGTCTAGAGCTGCTCATGCTTTATTTATTAACGGCACACAGAAAGCTGGGCTACCAGAGAGTGCTTGTCTTTTGTCTGGAGTCTCTTTATCCATCTAAACTGACTCATCTACTCTAGGGTGGCAGCCCCAACCACACGGGACTGTGCTGGTGGTCAGTATTTGAAAGCTTTGTTCATTTGTTATGTACAGAACATTACTTCCTCCCCTCCCTTTTTGGCCATCTTGAAATTGTGGTAGAGTAACATGAACCACTGGGGTTGTGGGATTGTACTAAAAAAATGGAGGAGGGTGTGATAATATTATGAGTTAAAAGGGTTTTCCTTTAGCCTCTTTAGTATGTAAGCTTTGAATTTTAACCTTAGACATTTTAACCGGTTCAAAGTCACTTGCCGGGCTGGCTGCACTCTCTTTGTTAATGAAAGCCCTAAATAAGGAAGGGGGAAAGTAAACTGATGACTACCGTGCCAGCCAGCAGTGTTCTGCAGGTGTAAAAAATAAATAAATAAATAAATAAAACTGCATGACTGTTCTGGAAATTCTTCAGCTACCTCTCTAGAAAGTACTAACGCGCCACCATCTCAAACCACACTACTGTGGTAGTCTTTGCTTGTCTTGGACATGTAGTTTGTTATATAATATTACTTGATAAATAATTTTAAAAAATTGTGGTTTTACCTTCTCTCACTAATGGGTCTAAATGTTTAGGAAACACTTAAATCACATGCTGCACCTCATAGTGGGACAAGCTGTTATTATTAACAACCAAACCCAATATCTGTTATTGTAGGATCTTTACTGTACAGTATAAGGTGACTTGTTTTGATTTAGTGCTATATATATATTCAACTGAATTGAACTGAATTGAACAAGGGTCTTCCCATGAGTCCCATTAGACCTGTTGCTGCACCTGCACCGTCACTCTACAGACTAGTTTTAGTTTTATTATTGTTTTTCAGGGATCATGCACAGAAACATTCACCTGATTTAGCTTTTAGCTTATGTACTTCTGCCCTTCCTGGACCGGTACACACAGGGTTAAATAGGCTATAAAACAGAAGTATATATCCAAGATATAAGATAAAAGTCAAGTGATATAATCAAATGCACATACACAACCTAAAACCTCTCAACCTTACCTACACCCACAAAAAACATACACATTGTAAAACCTTGCTATGAGCATCCTCCAATTTAATACTATGGAAGGAGTTCAGGATTATTATGATATTATTATGTTGTAATTATGCAGCTTTCCAGTAGCTACAGAATTTCAAGCACCTATGATAAACCTGGGTTTGAATTCAAACTCATTTTTGGCACATGCTGACTTTTAGCACTTTACACACAACAGCCCAAATCACAAAGTGCTTTTGCACCATGAACTATGAGGAATTAGGTGAAGAAATAATGAATCCAGTCAGTTTTGTCTTCCTGGAGCTTTTGGCTGTTTATCTAACAGCAGCACTTGAAGGCTAGGGTGATTACAGTGAGCCATTTGGGGATTTAGGTCTGTCTCAGGTGCACCAAGCCTTTAAAGAGCTGCTGCTGAGCGATAACTAAAGAAAGATTGTTTAAATCTGGTCAGAGCCTTCCTGCTATAACAGATCCACGCTGATCTAGCGTCCTTCCTTAACGGACTGAAAAATACTAAAAACACTAAATAAAGAGAATATAAAATGAAAAATGTATAAAAATATTATAGAAAGATACAGAAGCAGCGCTAAGACTATTTTTAGTAAAAT